TTTTTTTAAGAATTCAGACCACATTTTGTATATGTTGCTGAGACACAATTATTATCCTTCTATCTTATCGAATGTCAATTATGTGATAACTTACGAAGGCACTCAAACCGAGTAAGACCTGCTCCGTTGTAGGTTCGAGTAGTAAAAACTGCGCACACACTATCGGAGAAACTGCTGGGGTGTTCAAGTAGTGCATGAGCAGTCGGTTAACCTCATGGACAAATCTTGCCGATTTAACAATACAGAAAGGCCTGAAATCAAGGACTTCAGTCTTGCGCCTCCGTCAACCGGAACTTGGATAGCAGGTCAATACCTAGAAAAAATAGACTATTAAGAATTCCATATCAGAGGCCAAATAGCCTGTCCTTCGACAAAGTACACTGTGTGGCTTCGCTACTTACAGTGAGTTTGAAGTGACTTTCTCATTACATTCACGATCAGCTTTGAAAAGTAAAACCTTTACAATCATTCATATTCTCTTTGCATAACAATGAAAACGGAAAGTTCGTTTTTTGCCAGGTTAATGATACAATAGTCCATATAATGTTTAAGGTGCGTGTTCTGGGAAATGTACACCATCATACCGTACAGTGTGTATTAATGATAAATATGTTCAACGAAAAGATATTTTTATTCTTGTGGTTTTGGTATTTTATGGTATCAATTGTAAGTATGTTCTCCATGGGTCACTGGATGCTCATATCATTTCTACCGGGACAGGTCATTCCATTTTCATCACTTTCAAGCAAAATGCCTTATAAAGAAATAAGTGGGGAAAATAATGGAGAGCAAATGAAAGTGTACGTGTAATTCACGAGTTCACACTTTTGTGATCGAGCAATAAATCTTTACCGCTTTTGAGAGTGTACTTTCTTGACTGGAAAAACTAGATATAAGTTAGACTAGGCATCTCTGATTATGTGTAGATGATAATTTACATAATGAATCATGGCTGAGTAGCAGCGTCTGATCTATTTTGCACAGAGAAAGCACCAAAATTGGCGGGCTAGAATAAAGAGTTTGAAATAAATGTTGAAAAAAACTAAAATGATGCGGAAATTGATCAGTAGTCATTAACTAGTGGAAGATGATTTGCTATAGACCACTCAAATTGGTTGGTAGACGATATGTGCGAGCGAAAATTGATTAGTGCGGAGTGGGAGGAGGACTGGATCGTACTTTCATATTCGGAAACGCTGAAATGAAAAATAAGAGCTGAAACGAAAAAAAAGGACGCAGTTGGCGACATAACTTAAGTGGAAGCATTGTAGTTTAGTATGTTTCACTTTTTTCTGAAAGTGCCAGTTTTGAAATCAGCTTTCTTTGTTTGGCTTTAGAATACACCTACTTATATGCTGTGAAATGAGTCTCAAAGAATTTTTGCAGCATATGAAATTTATTCGAAAATATCTGAAAGCGACGGATCTCGCAACGGACCGGCAATCTGTCAAAAAATTTGTGCACAAATTTCTCGGGTACGATGGTGTGTTCTGCATGAGGATGATAAGTGCCCATGCGGGCGACATCATGGCTACTGAACTTATCGTCGCTCTGTGGCATAATTTTAACGACAGGCGAGTTGATGCTAAATTTGCCATTGTTAGAGTATTTTCTGCATGCATTCGATACGCATTATGATGTGGTCATGTCTTGTTCGCCTGGGTAGACAAACTAGGGAACTTAAAAAATTATAAAATTGGTACTGTAAACAGTATTTCTCAATT